TGTGAATGTTGCAGTGTGGAGGAGGCTGTGTAGGGTGCATCTGTGAATGTTGCAGTGTTGAGGAGGCCGTGTAGGGTGCATCTGTGAATGCTGCAGTGTTGAGGAGGCTGTGTAGGGTGCATCTGTGAATGTTGCAGTGTTGAGGAGGCTGTGTAGGGTGCATCTGTGAATGTTGCAGTGTTGAGGAGGCTGTGTAGGGTGCATCTGTGAATGTTGCAGTGTTGAGGAGGCTGTGTAGGGTGCATCTGTGAATGTTGCAGTGTTGAGGAGACTGTGTAGGGTGCATCTGTGAATGTTGCAGTGTTGAGGAGGCTGTGTAGGGTGCATCTGTGAATGTTGCAGTGTTGAGGCTGTGTAGGGTGCATCTGTGAATGTTGCAGTGTTGAGGAGGCTAGAAAATTGAAAACTGGGAAGGAGTGTTAACAAACTCTTAATATTCAGCAGAAAGTTTGAGGAACTTAAGAGTGACAGATCTCACCATCAAGGATCACAACAGTGTCACTGTCACAGCCTCCAGGAAAATGATAGGCTGGATAACTAGAAGCTTCCAAACAAGAGATGCCAAGCCAGTGATGATACTCTTCAAGTCACTAGTTCTCTCAAGGCTGGAACCCTGCTATACACTATCACTGGTAAGGCTAGAGAAATCGTAGATTCAGAGAATGTACAGAAACCTTTCATTACTTACACGAAGTCAGTTAAACACCTAAATTATTGGGGACATAAGCAAGAAAAATGTATCATAAGTCACATGTGGCAAATTCTAGCAGGACTGGTCCTAAATCAGGGGAGCATTGAGTTTGCTAAGAGATAACTTAGTTAGTGTAAAGGGTCCAAGGCTCTTCAACACGCTCCCTTCATATATAAGGGGACTTGCCAATAGACTTCTCCTGGAGTCCTGGTCTGGGTCCGGGGCGCCGGGGCGGTGACCCTGGAAATCATTTTCAGGCAATATTTGAGTACTGGGATCACCGTGGTCCCCCAAGTGAACACTGGGACCACCGTGGTCCCCCAGGTGAACACTGGGACCACCGTGGTCCCCAAGTGAAAAACTGGGACCACCGTGGTCCCCCAAAGTTAACACTGGACCACCGTGGTCCCCCAATGAACACTGGGACCACCGTGGTCCCCCAAGTGAACACTGGGACCCCCGTGGTCCCCCAAGTGAACACTGGGACCACCGTGGTCCCCCAAGTGAACACTGGGACCACCGTGGTCCCCCAAGTGAACACTGGGACCACCGTGGTCCCCCAAGTGAACACTGGGACCACCGTGGTCCCCCAAGTGAACACTGGGACCACCGTGGTCCCCCAAGTGAACACTGGGGCCACCGTGGTCCCCCAAGTGAACACTGGGGCCACCGTGGTCCCCCAAGTGAACACTGGGGCCACCGTGGTCCCCAAGTGAACACTGGGGCCACCGTGGTCCCCCAAGTGAAACTGGGGCCACCCCTGGTCCCCCAAGTGAACACTGGGGCCCCCCGTGGTCCCCCAAGTGAACACTGGGGCCACCGTGGTCCCCCAAGTGAACACTGGGGCCACCGTGGTCCCCCAAGTGAACACTGGGGCCACCGTGGTCCCCCAAGTGAACACTGGGCACCTCCCCCAGTTGGGGTTCCCCCAAGTGAACACTGGGGCCCACCCTGGTCCCCCCAAATGAACACTGGGGCCACCGTTTGGGCCCCCAAGTGAACACTGGGGCCACCGTGGTCCCCCAAGTGAACACTGGGGCCACCGTGGTCCCCAAGTGAAACACTGGGGCCACCGTGGTCCCCCAAGTGAACACTGGGGCCACCGTGGTCCCCAAGTGAACACTGGGCCACCGTGGTCCCCCAAGTGAACACTGGGACCACGTGGTCCCCAAGTGAACTGGGACCACCGGGTCCCCAAGTGAACACTGGGGGCCACCGTGGTCCCCCAAGTGAACACTGGGCACCGTGGTCCCCAGTGAACATGGGGACACGTGGCCCCAAGGGAACCTGGGCACCGTGGTCCCCAAGTGACACTGGGCCCGGGTCCAAGCGTGGGCCCGGGGTCCCCCAAGTGAACACTGGGACCACCGTGGTCCCCCAAAGGGAAAACTGGGACCACCGTGGTCCCCCAAGTGAAACTGGGACCACCGTGGTCCCCCAAGGAACACTGGGACCACCGTGGTCCCCCAAGTGAACACTGGACCACCGTGGTCCCCCAAGTGAACACTGGGACCACCGGGTCCCCAAGCGAACACTGGACCAAACCGTGGTCCCCAAGCGAACACTGGGACCACCGTGGTCCCCCAAGGAACACTGGGACCACCGTGGTCCCCAAAGGAACACTGGGACCCAAACCCTGGTCCCCCAAGTGAACACTGGGACCACCGTGGTCCCCCAAGTGAACACTGGGACCACCGTGGTCCCCACAAGCGAACACTGGGACCACCGTGGTCCCCCAAGGAACACTGGGGACCAACCCTGGTCCCCCAAGTGAACACGGGACCACCGTGGTCCCCAAGTGAACACTGGGGCCACCGTGGTCCCAATGAACACTGGGACCCCCGTGGTCCCCAAGTAACATGGCCCAACACAAATGAACATTCCTTTCATATTACTGGTCAGTTCTCCAAAATACAGTTAAACTGACTCACTGTCCAGTTTGAGAAATATTTTCTTTGGGGACTTTGTGATAAACTTTCTTCCAAACACTAAGGAACTTCTCCCTGGATTGTATTACTTATATTGTGTATAGTTTTGTGTGTATTCATCTATTTGTACTCGCCCATTTATGGTTGCAGGGGTCGATTCATAGCTCCTGGCCCGCCGTTTTTGTACCTACTAACCAAACATTAACCAACTTCATTAACCACTATTAACACAACACCTCTCTCTCTCTCTTCTCTCTCTTTTCATCTAACTCTCTCTCTCTCTCTTCTCTCTTCTCTCTCCCTCTCTCTCATCTCTCTCCTGAGATCAAACCTTTCCCGCCCACCGTCATCTCTCGTCTCCTGGGAAAAGACCTACTCCCAACCACATTCTTCCCTGGGAGAAATCCCACCTGCCTCATCTCTCTCTCCCTAGAGAACCTTCCCCTCACCATCTCTCTTCTCCTTTTCCTACAAGATGCTGTGACTTCCCCTTGGGAATCCAGCCGGGTTACTTTGTCCCTGGGTATTAATACATCATCGCTACAGAGGTACCCATTACAAGTACTTTAACTACCCTGGCCAGAACACATGCCGTACCTTGACCAATTTCATATTGGAGAGCTACTTCCTGTATCTCTGGGTAGGTATTAAAGAATGTGTGCTGTACCCTACAGCTGCACTGATTTTACTGTAGGTTCCTGGAAATCTTCTCAACTAGTCTTCAATGGGATACAGAAGGTATAATTCATTGTCTGTGGGGACTTTGGAATTTTGCCTCCAGACACGAAAAGTGATTTACGCACCTTGCCAAGTTATATTAGAGTTATTAACCAAAGGGAGTACGAGGCGTAAGTAGTGGTAGGATGGTGTGCGTTTCTGTCTGGTTGTGTGTAGACACACCGTAGTGACAGTAATGTGTGGTCGGGGGTGTGGCGTTACTGTGGTTGTGTTAGACCACTCGTAGATGACAGTAATTAGTTGTCAGGATGGGTGCTTACGTCTGGTTGGTGTAGACAAACTCGTAGTGACAGTAATGTAGTGGTCAGATGGGTGGCGTTATGTCTGGTTTGTTAGAAACTTAGATGACAGTAATGTAGTGGTCAGGATGGTGTGGCGTTACTGTCTGGTTGTGTGTAGACACACTCGTAGATGACAGTAATGTAGTGGTTTGGATGGTGTGGCTTACGTCTGTTGGTGTAGAACACTCGTAGATGCAGTAAAGTATGGTCAGGATGGTGTGGCTTACGTCTGGTTGTGTGTAGACACACTCGTAGGGTGACATTAATATTGGCCAGGATGGTGTTGCCGTTACGTCTGGTTGTGTGTTGACAACTCGTAGATGACAGTAATTAGTGGTCAGGATGGTGTGGCGTTACAGTCTGGTTGTTGTAGAAAACACTCTAGTGCAGTAATGTATGGTCAGGATGGTGTTGCGTTACTGTCTGGTTGTGTGTAGACACACTTCCGTAATGACAGTAATTAGTGGTTCAGGATGGTTTTGCGTTTACTGTCTGGTTGTGTGTAACACACTCGTGATGACAGTAATGTAGTGGTCAGGATGGTGTGGCGTTACTGTCTGGTTGTGTGTAGACACACTCGTAGATGACAGTAATGTAGTGGTCAGGATGGTGTGGCGTTACTGTCTGGTTGTGTGTAGACACACTCGTAGATGACAGTAATGTAGTGGTCAGGATGGTGTGGCGTTACTGTCTGGTTGTGTGTAGACACACTCGAAATGACATTTATGTTGGTCAGGAGGGGTGTGGCGTTACTGTCTGGTTGTGTGTAGACAGACTCGTAGATGAGGAACTGGCTTTTAGCTAGGCAGCGTTCCGCTCTGTGTAGGACTTTAGCAAGTCATGTCTTGATAAAGCTCTACACAGTGAAATATGGCTTGATAAAGCTCTACACAGTGAAATATGGCTTGATAAAGCTCTACACAGAGTGAAACAACTTCACACAACTCTGTACAGAGCCAAACATGACATTTTCACATTAAAAACATTTCTTTTGCCTCTTAGACTGTCAGTGAAGATTATGAGCCTAAGAGGCATGTTGGTGACTTTAACCTGACAAAGGAGGTCTAAGCAGCCAAACAAACACTTAGCAATGAAGGAAAACCTTGAGGGGGCCTTTCACCATGTCCTTCTCAGGTGCGATGTCTCTTCCCCCCTCCGCCGTAGGTTGGGTCGGTGCGGCTGCCGTTCTCCTGTTCTTTTCTTGGGCGCTGCCGCTTCAAGATGGCAACCATCCCAACGAGGGCTACCGCCGGGGCTGCGGGGACGGGGCGTGCTCGCGCGACCCCCCCCCCGTGCCCGTGCCCGGGGGTGGGTGGGGGGGGGCGGGGTTTCAGGGGGGCCCACCGCCCCTTCATACACCGCGGTGGCCCACCTGCTCACATGGCCAGACTTATTATGGAAGCACGGCCACAAGGCGTCCTTCCTGCCTGAGAGTTAGTATCATTATTATAATTTTATTATTAATTGGAATATTCATTTTAGGCAAGATTAAATGCACCTTTTTTTGATAAAAAATCATCTATACATACATAAAATTAATATAAATATAATATATATATATATATATAAATATATAAAATGTATAATATCCCCTTCCCCTTAGACATTTACTAAAAAAGGAAGAAAAAAAATTTATAAAACTGGGATGCTTGAATGTGGGGTAGTGCGGATGACAAAAAACAATGATTGCTGATGCTAGAATGAAAAAAAAGTTGGATGTCCGGGCTCTAACGAAACAAAGTGAGGGGGGGGGGGGAGTTTCGGGGGGGGGGAAAATAAAGGGGATTAAATCTGGAGTATCTGAGAGATTTAGAGCCAAGGAAGGGTAGCAGAAATTTTTGAAGGATCAGTTAGGGAAAGGGAGAAAAGAAAATATGAATGTGTAAATTCAAAAATTTTATGGGGATTAAAGAAAAGGGTTGGATGCAAAAAAGTGGGTGATAAAAAGGGTTTGCACCTGGAAAGAGAGGAATGTAAGGAGAGGAGAGAGTTTTTTTGGAGATGTTAAGGAAGTATAGGAGTTTAAACCAAGTGAAGAGTAATTGTGGTAGGGGACCTAAATGCTAAAGTAGGAGAAATTTTTAAAAAAGGGTGGGGGTTAGGAATTTGGGGGGCCCCAGGTGTAAATGATAAGGGGGGCCCCTTTTTGATTGAACTTTGTATAAAAAGGGGTTTAGTTATAGGTAAAATTTTTAAAAGAAAAAAGGGGATAAATAAGTAACAAGATATATGTAGGCGAAATGAAACTTTTTTGGTTTATGTTTTGGTGAAAAAGACTTTTTGATAGACTTCGGAGACATTTAAGAGGGGGCCACAGATATATCAATATTTTCTAGTTGTAGTACACAAGAAAAAAGGTAGATGGGATACAAGGAGAAAAAAGAAGCATCAGGGAAGAGAGAGGTAAGGTTTTAAACTAAAAAGGAGGCATTAGGGTAAGATATAAACAGCTTTTGGAGGATAGATGGGCTAATAAAGGCATAGGCAAGGGGGTCGAGGGGGTAGGGTATTTAAAAAATGTAGTGTTAGTGTTCAGCAGAAGTTTGGGTTACGGGAAAGGGGGCGGGGGGGGAAAAGGGGGAGCGATTGGGGGAAAATGAGAAAAGAGATAGTAAGGAGAAAAATTTAGCATATGAGAATTTTTTACAAAGTAGAAGTTTGCAAGGGGGGAAGAGTATTGGAAAAAAGAGAAGGTTAAGAGAGTGGTAAAAGCAATGTAAAAAAAGCAAAAAGAGAGTGGGTGAGTTTATCAAAAAATTTTTTTGAAAAAAAAAAGTTTTGGAGTGAGTTTAAACAAGTTAAGGAAGCCTAGAGAACAAAGGGGATTTCATTAAAATGGGGGGGATTTTTAAAAGGGGAATTGAGGTTTTGGGAAGAGGAGGGAATTTTTTGAGGAATTGTTAAATGTTGTGAAGATAGGGAAGCTGTGATTTCGGTATGGGGCAAGGGGGAAATAACATCTTGTAGGGTGGGAAAGCCTTGGCATACATGATGGAGTGAATAGGTAAAAAGTTTTTTTTTTGGGCCCCCTGCCTTGGTGGAATCGGTGGATAAAATATAATTTATAATATATTATATAATATATAATATATATATATATAAATAATAATTTTAATATATTATATTATATAAATATATGGCTTTCAAATCCACTGCTACCCTACACACCCACATCCCTAAAGCAGCCGCCATAGCACGGGGAAATTCACAGCCCTTTTTAAAGCGGGGAAGGGGGTTCCACCATTTTAAAGCCCGAGGCCCCAAACCAAGCAGGGCGCAACCTTCTCTTTTGGGCAATTCTGTCTGCAGTTCCTGAAGACAGGCAAACGCAAACCCACGTCAGTTATAAAGGCAGGCGAAACTACCCAAGAACGGATAACTGTGTCCCTCTGCCCCCTCATCGCAGGGAACAAAGGGCAGACCCAAAAAGCCTACTGAGAAAGAGAAAATTTTCCAAGTTTTGCAAAAAATTGAGGAAGGACCAGGGGAGCAATAGAATAATTACAAGGACACACTGTACCCCCAAGGGAACACGGCCCAAGCACTAAGAGACAAGCACCCCAACGGGACACCACAGCCATCAAAACAACCCGAGGGAAAACCCCACACTGAACAATAATTTTTCCAGAATCGGAAGTCATAAGGGATCGTGTCATTTCCCGCAGGGTCTGCAGGGGGTTACCGGAATTCGACCCCAACACCTCAAAGAGATGGTAAACCCTACTGGTGAATCGCATCAATTCTTCTCACCGAGTTAACAACTTCGTCAACAATTTCCAGGGTGGGGGGGAAACCCAGAAGAAATTAAACCTTTCTTTTTTGGAGCCTCACTATGTGCTTTGAAGAAGAGGGTTTGGGGGAAACAACCCATTCAGTTGGAAACCCTCTTCGCCGTCTTTTGCCAAAGCAGAAGGGGGAAACATTCGCCAGAACTCCACTTTACCCAGCCACACCAACTGGGGTTTGGGTCTCTCAAGGCAGTGAAGCTGCAGTCAGCGGCAAGGGCCTACACAGGGGCCTACCAAAACAAGGGCCCAAACAAACTTGATTTTAGAATGCCTTTAAAAGGTAGGAGAGATGCTGTTTTGCCAGCTGTTCGGGTTTTGGTTCCCCAGTCTCTTTCCCTTATTTCAGCCGGCTACAGCAAACCCTCAATTCTTTTTTTTGGAGAAAAATAAATTCAATCATCAGAGGGTGTTCGCAGGTGACCCACTTTTCCACTTTCTTCTGCTTGGCAGTAAAGAACAACTTCCACCCACCAGTGAGCTCAATATCTGGGACCTGGGTGACGGCACTCTGGAGGTACTGAAAAATCCCTCGTGGGGGGCCCACAACTGGGGAAAAAAAGGGAGAAGGCTTTTGGGCTCATCCTCAATCCCTCTAATGTGAAAAAATCCAGCGAACCCGGAATAATCAAAGGGCGAAAAATCCCCCGGAAATCTCAACTACAACTCTGTCCAACAGACCCCCTTGGGGGGCACCGCTGGGCACCAGGGGCCCTCGATACGGCCTCAGGGGGCAAATTGAATGACCTTATGAGAATGGAGGAGAAAAAGCGATCTTGATGCCCATGATGCTCTGCACTCCCCACAAAATGTCTTACTTGCCCAAACTCACTTACTTCTTGGGTGTGCACCCTCTTTTGAAACCCAACACTCGACGAATATGACGCACCACCCGAGATCAACTTTAAAAGGGATGAACCCGTCCTAGAGGATAACAATGGATCAGGGACCCTCCCAGTGCGACTGGGGGTTTTAAAGGGTGCGAAAAACAACGCATGTTGCTTTACCGCTTTTCTGCTTCGGTTTTGGGTTCCCGTTTAGTCAAGAAGATAGTGCCCGAACCTTTTTAGAGACTTGGGAGAGTCAAGACCCCCGGTTTACTGAAGCAGCAATTCGGTGGGACACCCTTCAGACCCTCCAGAGACCAGCTCCTCCAAACAGCACAAACAGCCACTGGGACAAACCATCATGGAAAAAATCGCCAAAACAATCTCTCCAATGCTTCAGGAAAGAACAAATCGTCTCCCGGCAGTGAAGGCACCACACTCAGGAATTTCCTTTGGGTGTTTTCCCCCTTTCCCCCCTGGGCACCCTCTCGACCCACAGGCCATTCGGGTTGGTTGCTTTTCGCCTAGCCCCCCACCTCACCGAACATTGGGGGTATTTGCGGCAGGGCGACAGCTATCAATTCGGACCCATGGTCTCTGTGCCACACAGCGAAGGGAAGTAGCCCGACTGAAAATCAATGCAAATAAAAGGGGCTCGCCACAGCCCTTGCCCAGCTCAAAGGGAACCCCAAGTACAGAGGGTTTATGGAAGTCAAAAGCGCCTGATGGGGCAAATATGCAACCCGGAAGGATGGGAAAACGATTGCCGGGACACACCTGTGCTGCCACATTGGCAGACACCACTTGCCATACCTGTAGTGGAAGGGGGGGGAAGGGCCCCCACGGGGGACCCAAAGATCCGAAAATATGAAACCTTCCTCTGCTATAACTTTATTCCAAAGGGGGGAGACCCTTTGGGGCATGGGGGGAAGGTTTCTCTAAAGTTCCTAAGGAGCTGGGTGAAAAGCTATCATAGAAACCAAGGGCCAAGGGGGACCAGCTTTTCCCCTTTCAGAGACCGTGTTGCGATCCCCAAAAAGGGAAAGCCTGCACATTCTGGGGACGCGGCCCCCCCGCAGGGGGGCTGGACGAATATTCGAGATGTAGCTCTGAGTTACCTAGTTTTTTTACTTTTATCATATTTTTGTGATGTTTCGCAAGGGATTTTGTCTTTAAAAAAAATAAAACAAAATATGGGGGGTAGGAGAAAATTCTCAAACAGCTTCAGGGAGAATCTTGAGTTTTCCCTGAAGCAAGTTTATTCTTTTCTCTGAGGATGAGGGTCCCCATCACAGTTCTAGAGGTGGTACCTCCCTATATTTATATATATATATATATATATAATATATATATATATATATATATATATATATATATATATATATATATATATATATAATTGAGTGGGCCTGGACCATGGTGTGGTCCTGGATACAGTACCAACCTCACCATGGTGTGGTCCGGGATACAGTACCAACCTCACCATGGTATAGTCCGGGATACAGTACCAACCTCACCATGGTGTGGTCCGGGATACAGTACCAGCCTCACCATGGTGTGGTCCGGGATACAGTACCAACCTCACCATGGTGTGGTCCGGGATACAGTACCAGCCTCACCATGGTGTGGTCCGGGATACAGTACCAACCTCACCATGGTATAGTCCGGGATACAGTACCAACCTCACCATGGTGTGGTCCGGGATACAGTACCAGCCTCACCATGGTGTGGTCCGGGATACAGTACCAACCTCACCATGGTGTGGTCCGGGATACAGTACCAGCCTCACCATGGTGTGGTCCGGGATATAGTACCAACCTC